GGGATGTCCAGGAGATCCAGATTGATTTGCTAGTGTATTCACACTACTGAAAATGTGGATTGATGTTTCAAGAAAACTTGGGGGGGGGGGATGGTATCAAATATCCTGGGTCAAGTGGGGTTTTGGGTACCCCCCCCCCTGGCACACTGAGTGCGTTTGGGATGAGTGTGAACACTAAAGAAATAACCCAGATTCACCCCAGGTTATTTTTGTAGTGTGACTGGGGCCTAAGAATTGAATGTATTTAAGAACTGAAAGAGAAGACTGAGTTACCACAATGAACCCACTCATCAACACAGCCATTAGCCCAGGACAGTGGTCAGCTCAGGGCATGAGCACAAGATCCAGGGAGGGATCATAAGGGGAAAGGGCAAGGTGAGTTGCAGGAGCCCAAGGGTTGGAGCTGCTGCACCAATCTGGACAGGGATTCCATCACACCTACCTCTTAGGTCTCTTTAGCAAAGAACCAGAGATGTCTCCCATGTGTGAGCCTGCCTTGGTCCTTGAGATCAACTTCTTCAGCTGTCTTTCAGGTGTCCTCAGCTTCTGAAATAGCATGGATGATAGAGCATTTTCATTAATGGTACCCATTTGGAACATAATACGCCTAGATAAATGGAGTGGCACCAAACTGACTGTTGCTTCAGGGCTGAGTGGAAATATTTTTATTTTGCCAAGCATTTTTGTGTTTCTGTACTCTTCTTTGTCTGTTTCATTGTAATGGTTAAAAGTAAGATCTTTGCTTTTTTGGATTTTATGTTGAACTGCTTGACTGTAAACTGCCTCCTTAAGGATAGAAAGGATATAAGGAAAGTTTTAGACAAGCAAGCAAGCAAGCAAAACAATGGGCTCCTGAGAAATAATCAAATCTGTATCCTAAAACAGAGGACATCTTTGGTTCACTTATGTCTGAAAGGACTGTTGTCAGCATTTCTTGTCCAGTACTAAAAAACAACAACAACAAAAAAAGGGGGGGCCTAAATAGCCTGAGCTCACCAGCCCTATCTGATCTCTGAAGCTCAGGCCTGGTTAGTCCTTGTAAGGGAACACTGGGTGCTGTATTGGTGTGTGGTACATTATCACACTGCCCTTTTTTATCCTTCCCTCCTGACATAGGCACGGGCTGAAACCTTTTAAGCATGGATTTTATCACACGCCTCCATGCCCAGGTCGGAGTCATCCCTTACCCGATCATGGCATCCCATACTTGATTAAGAATTCTCCTGTATTTTGCAAAGAACAGGAACATTCTGTTCTTTCAAAAAGTGTTGGATTGGGTACCAGATGCCTCTGACCTGGGCACAGAGGCATGAGATAAAATCCATGCTTAAAAGGTTTCAGCCCATGCCTAGGTCGGGTGGAAAGGATGAAAAAGGCCATTGTGATAATCTATTTCAGAGAAAGGCAATGGCAAATTACCTCTAAGCAATCCTTGCTTAAGGAAACCCTATGAAATTCATGGGGTCACCATGTCAACTGGCATCTTAAAGACACATACCATACATTATCAGTGATACACAAAATCTATGCTCTCATGCCTGGGATACAAATGGTCTTGTGTAAACAGCATGTAAACAGCTTTTAAGATAAATTTAACATAGACAGGTAACTTGACGGCACATACTTTAGCGAAGAAAAACTCAGTGAGGCAAATGAAACTGAGCGACATTCTGTCCATCTCAGGAGTAACTTCTCCATGGAGCAAAGCTGATGCTCTTGCAACCTGTGATCAAAACAAATTGGCTTGCACTGCAGTTTGTTCCTGTCCTGACAAATACAGTATGTTCTTACAAACTCCAAGCAACAAGCTGCATAGTCTGTAGTGATCAAATTTGAAATTGAACATCAACATGTAGTAATCCAGCCATTTATTTGTCCAGTTACAACCTTTTTTAAACCCCATTGCAGTTCCCATTAGAGAGGCTTTTCCTCTGTGGGTAACCTGTGTGTTGCCAGTAAATTTGATTCAGCTATCTAAAAATATTTCTGAAAAGCTTGTAAATGCAAGTGGTGAATCAATAAATCTATGGCATCTTAGGGGGTGACCTTCATCTTGTAAGACAAATAATATTCTCTGTGAATGTTTAGCAACCACACTTATATGAAAAGTTATAATAGCTGGATGTTAAACATTTTTCATGGCCTCAGCTCTGTTCTGTACTCATAGAAAGGGGCCTAGAACAAATAATGTAGGTAGTTCTTCCTTAATCTTTTCTTAAAAACACTCCTCCTTGGACTGAGTGAAAAGCCTGGCCACCCAATCCACTAGGATTAATATGGTGAATTACACAAAGAGAAGAATAGGTCCTTGGATGGAAGACCACCAGAAGCACTATTTAAATGCATAGGGCCAATTCTACCATTAGGCTGAGTTAGGTGACCACTTCACACAGGAGATTATCACATTTAAAAAAAAACACCCAATTTACCCCTGCTGTTTTCAAGTCTATTATGGGATGCAGTCGGGTATTATCTCATGGAAAATGCCGCCAATGCTGCCACCCGACTACATCCCGCCTAAAACCGAGCTACAAGCCACTCAAATGTGGCTTTTTTAAAAGCTGTTTTTTAAAAAATGCAATAAACTCCACAGTCACTGCTACAAGACAGTAGTCTCCCTCCCTCTCTTGTTCCTTTTGAGCCACTGTCGTTTCCCCACTGTTAAGATGTTTGGAGCCTTATTGCATAAGAAAATAAAGCCAAAATGGAGCAGAAGAGAAGCAACTTTCACTTTGCTGCTCCATATGTTGTTGTAGCACTTCCATTCCCTTCTTGAGAGAGATGGTCATTAAAAGTGTGTCTTTTGTCAAAGAGGTTTTTCCAGTTTGACAAAAGTCATTTTTATGGCCACCTCCCTTGGGAAGGGAACGGAGTGCTATGATGGCATGTGGAAAAACAGGGAGAAAGCCACTACTCTTTTGCTCCATTTTGGCTTTCTTTTCTCGTGTGATAAGGCATTTGGAGGACTAAAGTTTGAGAATGCCTGTGCTACACGATCCTGCTACCTTCGATATGGTGGAGGATTTGATTTGTCATTTTCAAGCAGAGAGGTTCAGCAGCATTTATCTTGGGTTTGATTTCCTTTGCAAGGAGGTCACTGGAGGCTCATACATATTTTGTATTCATTTCTAGATATACAGTGTAAGCATTTGTGGAGGCACAACAAAATGATGCTCATCACAAAATGGTTTGGCTTGCCAATACCTTTTTGCCACACCTGTTCCTATCCCTATTCTGTTATTGCCACTAGAGAGTGAAAATAACTACAGTGAGCTCTTGGAATCTGCTGGGGTTTCATTCTAGGACCCCCTGTGGATACCAAAATCCATGGATGCTCAAGTCCCATTATATACAATGGCATAGTAAAATGTTGTCCCTTATTTTTAAAAATGGCAAAATTGAGGTTTGCTTTTTTGGATTATTTTTTAAAA